GGGATCCCTAACCACTTCCTGTTTCTGGGCTTAACTTCCTATCTTAACCTTCACTCTACCAGAAGCTCCTTACTCTATTTCAAAATTAAAAGCACACAGCAAGTAAAGAACTCTCAGATTAAGACAGGACAAACCTTCAAAATAAAAGCCTAATAAGTTTTATTTTGAAATGGGATTTTAAACATGTGATTAAAACGAACAATAATCACCGTTAAAAGTTTATTAAAAAAAAAGTCAAAATGAAATAAAAATAAAATCTGATGAAAGATGCAAAACTATTGTAACCATGGTTACAAGTGACTTTACCTGACTCTTCTCAGGCTCTGCTGCCGCCTGGTGGCCGGCGGTGCGTCCAGGGTGGATGGTGGACTTCAGCTTGTCCAGAACAGAACGGCTCTCTTTCTTCTCTGATAGGCTGGAGGTTAACGGCTTCACTGGATGTGGTCTGCAAAGTCAAGAGGTCAGAGCCGGTAAATGAACACAGCTGAAAGTTTACAGTACATCCCGTTATCACTGCTCGACTACTTTGGTCTGATCGAAGGTTGGAGAGACATTGGAGTGATGTCTGTCACAGTCGAGTCCTGAATACCATGGACCTCCCTACAACCTGACTTCTTAAAGGAACAGTACTCAAAAAAAAGGCAGACTAACAACAACACTGACAACAACAACAACAACAACATCATTGACATCGACAGCGAGGGGATATTTATAAACTGAGAATCTAAAGAAGGGGGTCTCAGCAGGAAGACGCTCATTCTCTCAGACAGTCTGTCCGTGGTTTATTGTTGATTATCTCGTAAAGAGACGATCCAATGAGATGCAGAGACTTCCTGCTCCTTCATTAAGCCTGGCTCACAATGTGCAATTTATCCCAGATTGAATAAAAGCCGGGGTGTCATGTCAGCTCACACTGTACGACTGAATCGTTTACGACGCCCGACCAGACCTTGAGATTTGACGTGCTCACACTGTACGACCTGATTGTCAGGCACGGCCGGAGAGCTCACACTGAACGAGTGAAATCTGGATGGAGCGTTGACAATTGTTAATAAAGTTTCATTTGAAAACTCCAACGGACGACGGTTGGTGAAAGAGAAGGAAGTGGAAGTTGTTGTAGGATATAGGAAAGTTAATACAATCGTAGATATATGGAGACAAGTTTCAGAAAAATGCTGCACTGATGATCTGTACAGAAAAGTAAAAAGAAAAAAAAGAAACGCCGGGTTGCATCCTGCCGCTGGTTGCCATGACTACAGTCCTCCATTGTCTCTCGTGATTATATTGTAGTCACACACAACTTCTGCTGGACCCTTTCATGACGTAATCATCAAGATTTTAAATTCTAAATATGAAACATGTTTGAAATAAATTGGGGCGTCCCCGGCAATCGGCGCGCAGATCGGGGACGTTAAGATTGGATCTTTGTACCGCTCACACTACGAGATAATAATCTGAGCAGAAAAACAGATAATCGGCCCGATTATCCTGCAGTGTGAGCCAGGCTGTAGTTTGACACTAACAAACAAATCCATCCTGACAATATGATGTCTCTCCTGTATCAGCTGCAGTTTGAACAAAGAGATGCAAACTGAACATGAAGAATGACCTGAGGAATGGATATCTTGTTATTCTAAATGTGCTAAAGGAACCTCTTTTTAACTCTGAGTAACTGAAACATTGGGCTACTGGTTTCTCAAACATCTTCTTTAAGTGTGAGACTGTTGAAGACGAGGGGCCTAACCTTCACCCTTCTTCAGGTTTCTGCTGTTCAACATGAGTCTGGTTCTGATCCAGGTTTCTGCCTGTTCTACATGAGTGTGGTTTTGGTGGGGTCCAGGTTTCTGTCTGTTCATCATGAGTCTGGTTCTGATCCAGGTTTCTGTCTGTTCTACTTGAGTCTGGTTCTGTTCCAGGTTTCTGTCTGTTCATCATGAGTCTGGTTCTGCTCCAGGTTTCTGTCTGTTCATCATGAGTCTGGTTCTGATCCAGGTTTCTGTCTGTTCATCATGAGTCTGGTTTTGCTCCAGGTTTCTGCCTGTTCTACGTGAGTCTGGTTCTGATCCAGGTTTCTGCCTGTTCAACATGAGTCTGGTTCTGCTCCAGGTTTCTGCCTGTTCAACGTAAGTCTGGTTCTGATCCAGGTTTCTGTCTGTTCATCATGAGTCTGGTTCTGTTCCAGGTTTCTGTCTGTTCTACTTGAGTCTGGTTCTGCTCCAGGTTTCTGCCTGTTCTGCATGAGTCTGGTTCTGTTCCAGGTTTCTGTCTGTTCATCATGAGTCTGGTTCTGCTCCAGGTTTCTGTCTGTTCATCATGAGTCTGGTTCTGATCCAGGTTTCTGTCTGTTCATCATGAGTCTGGTTTTGCTCCAGGTTTCTGCCTGTTCTACGTAAGTCTGGTTCTGCTCCAGGTTTCTGCCTGTTCAACATGAGTCTGGTTCTGATCCAGGTTTCTGCCTGTTCAACATGAGTCTGGTTCTGATCCAGGTTTCTGTCTGTTCAACATGAATCTAGTTCTGGTCCAGGTTTCTGCCTGTTCAACATGAGTCTGGTTCTGGTCCAGGTTTCTCTGTTCTACATGAGTCTGGTTCTGTTCCAGGTTTCTGCCTGTTCATAATGAGTCTGGTTCTGCTCCAGGTTTCTGTCTGTCCTACATGAGTCTGGTTCTGATCCAGGTTTTTGTCTGTTCTACATGAGTCTGGTTTGCTCCAGGTTCTGTTGGATCTTTGTTAATGATGTAGAGTTTGGTCTCTGTTTGAAAAGTGACTGTAGATAATATTTGTTCTGAATTCTTTATAAATTAGGATTATTTGATCTGATAGTAAAGTGATGGATCTGCTCTGAGATGTTCAGGTTTTTTCTCTGCAGAGTCTCATGAATAAAAACATTTTTAAACATCCTAATACCTTCCTCTACAGGGAGCAGTGAGCTGACACTGTGAGGTTATACTGACATGATGCATCAGGTGAACAAAGAAGCAGAAAAAGAAGCTACATTTAGAACAAAGTGTGAGAAAAACACAAAGTAAGAGAAGCCAACGAGAATAATGAGATGAAAAAGACAAATGAGAAGCAGAGCAAAGAGTGAAGCAGCAGGTACCATCCAAACAGCTTGGATGAAAAGACACAACTTATAATGAAACAAGCCGGCCAGCAGCAAACACAGCCGATGGAGCCCAAAAGAACGTGTGAGTCTGTTATTCCACATTTAATAAAAACGTGTAAACACCTACACATGTGGCACCCTGGAGTGAGGATTCTCACCTGCTCTGCTGATGAGGCAGGTCGCTAGCTGGCTGAGTCTCCTCAGGCAAAAGTGAGTGGCGTGCATCGCTCGGGGGCTGGTCAGTGGTGGAGGTGGTAGAGTAGTAGGAGGAGGTGGTGGAGTAGGGGGCCACGGCCAGAGTACTGCTGGCTCCAGCACAGGACCCCGTGCTTGAAGGATGTATGGAGGGGCGACAGACAGGGGTGGGTTGGAGGGCTGCTTGTGTATCAGCTGACAGAGAGAGTGCACAAGGGGTGGAGAGAGAGGAGCGCTCGGGGTCTTGCAAAGATTGCCCAATCTTTGTCTTTGAAGGGGTTCTCGAGTTCGGGGCAACTTTTGCATGAAGGTCTTCAAAACTGATGTCGGATGATTTTCCTGCTACACACTTTTGAGGCATTATGTGAACATTTGAAGATACTGGTGATGTGCTCTGAAACTGATCAGGGTTAGTTTGGTCTTTGACTATGCTCTCTGTTTGGGAATCGGTCTGCTTATTAAAGGACAGTAAGCTAGAAAGAGCTGATTTAGTGGGCTGATAAGACAAAGGTCCTTCGCTGACTCCTGAGATATTTTTAACAAGAGACAACAGCTGTTCAAACTCTCTGTCACTGCTTATGCTTTGGAGGTTTGGGCTTCCCCCACTGTTCTGCTGGGACACTCCTTTTGGTCTAAAGCGAGCACTAACCACACCTGAGAATGACTCCTTCTGATTAGCTATGCTTTGGGGGTTTCCATTATCATCAAAGTCCTTTTGTGTCATTTTTAAGTCACTTCCTAGTGGAGCCTGTCTCGGTTCAGTTTCAACCTTAGACCGATTAGATGTTTGCTTTTGTGAAGTTAAAGCAGTAATCATCTCGCTGGTTACCCTGGAGTTACAAGGTGGTGCCCCGTTATACAGGTCACATCGACAATCTTGGCAATTGTCTTGGCAAACCAGCGAGACTTTGCACAGTTTGTTAGAAGATGATGTTATTTCAAAGGAAGAGTTCATCTCAGGTATGTAGGTGTCCTTTAAGGTGAACAAATCCTCTGGTGGGGTGGCTGTGTCTGAACAGAAAGGAGCTATCTGTGAATCTTCTGGCGGCTGGGAAACAATCCCACTAAAACTGTTGATGCCTCTGAGAGTGTCGACTACCTCTGACTGTGAAGAGCCATCTGAGTCAATGAATCCAAAATCTGAATGATTAACATTCATGTTTAAATCTCCCAAAGCTGGAGAGAAAGACACATTATTGTTGATGCATTCAGTTTCTGGTTCAGACTCTCTCTCCTCTCCTGAAGTAGGCTTCATCTCTTGGACCTTTCCCTCTCGCTTTGAGCCACTGACGGATGACAAGCTCAATAGGTCGGCAACTGGTATCTCACTATCCAGAAACTTTTTAGAACCGGAGTTCATTGATATGATGTTTCTAGCTTCTTCAGCATGCATCGATGAAAGATGGCCGTCTACTTTGGGTTGTCCGTAGCGTCCTCGACATACACGTCCATACAAGTCTTGCTCAAACAGCATCCCTCGCCAGCAGTCAGCGTTATCTTCCAAAGGCTCATACTTAAACTTCTTCAGCCTCTCTTCGGACACAAATACAGGTGAAGTAACATTTGTGGAAGGTTGGGAGTGAACACTCAGGGAGTCAGAGGTCTCGCTGCCTGTGTGAGGGTCTGGAGATATACTGTTTCTCTTTGATTCACCCTCTCTTTCACGTTGCAGTGAGGCCACGCCGGTCTGTGAGAGCAGGTAGGCTTCTTTGTGGACGGCGAGCTCTTGACCTCTGTGCAGCCAGCCGTCAGAGTAGATCTCGTTCACTGAGTTCCGTAAAAGTCTCCTTGGAGGCAAAGGTGGAGGCTCCTCCTCACATGCTTCCAGTTCTTGTGCAAGACTTTTGGTGTTTATTGGAGGATTACTACGTCTACCAGAGGAAGTTTGACTAGTTCTTGGCTGAGGAAGACTCCCTTTAGGGGAGTTCAGTCTGCTTGATGCAAAGGCATCAAAGGAGTCGTCCCATTCTCCTGATGTCTCCGACATTGAACGAGGGGCTGCGTAGTTAGAGGAGTAATGGTTGCCTGCTTTGGGCAGTAATGCAGGGAGGGATATCTGTCTAGCTACGGGCCTGGGGCGATCCCGCTTAATGGAAGCTATATTTGGAGCATTGACACTGTGAGCAGGATTGGGCGTGCAGGGGCAAGATGGCACAGTAGTGTAATGGAAGGGCGATGAGCTAGGAGAGTAAAGAGCTAAAGTTGTGGACTTCTGCAAGTCTTTAGCTATGAGCTCCTCAAAGAAGGGGTTGTGTTGCATATGTGAGGGGAAAGGATTGGAAGGGGAGATGGGGGTTGAGGCAGGAGAAGAGGAGAAAGGATTGGTGTGACTGTAGTCGTCAGGTGAGACATGACCTGAGGGGGAGGCAGAGGAGGACTGAGGGGGTACAGGGGAGCGAGGAGGGAGGGGAGGGGGTACGTCTGGGCTGCTTTCTACCTTAGGAGAAACTTCCAGCCTGTAGAGGGAAATAGGGCACAATAGTCCTCTTAGTTAATGATGTGCCAGGTTACCAAATGGGGAACATCTTTCTTACACAAACAGAGAAGACAACCAAGAAACGAGCAGAAATTCCACAACAGAATTTGCCCAACATCAGTCGATATAACAGTGGCCAAATGAAAAAAGTGTGAAAACAGCAACACAAATTGAATAAAGCAAAGCACGTTTGCAAAATAATCAAGCAAAAACAACAAAAACAAATGCATTGTAGCCATTCCAGACCATCTGTGATTGTGTTGGCTGAGCTCATACTTTATCAACATGGAATGATTTCATAATGTCCTTTTTGAAAGAACATTTACCTAAAGCCTAACAATGGTGCATCTTTGGAAGAGAACCAGGAAATATGCTGGAGATAAAAATGGAATTGCTGGAGTGCTACCTTGTGGAGATTGGAGCATGAGATAATGGTACAGCATGGTCGTAAAATGGAGAATGCTATGAACTTAATCAACTCCATTTTCGAAATGAGCAAGGAGTCGAGCAAAGACTGAATATAGGACACTCAACTAAAAACAGGACTCAGAGCCTGTCATTCATCAAACACTTATAGAAGAGAGATGGAGCTGTAAATGACCAAGACTCACCTTGGCTTGTTCTGGGAGTCACCTGAGCCAAACCAGCCTCTCAGCCTCCCCTCAGATGTAGACGACTGGTTCAAGTCAGACTTAGCTGGGAGAGACTCACTCCTCCCCCCAGAGAATAACGTCATTCTTAGCTTCCTCCCTTTCTCAGGGGAGCCAGCAGCAGACGGGACAACTGGCAAGGCCGCCTGAGCAGCGCGACCTCCTGCCTGGGCTTTCTGACTGGATGGAGATGATGCCTGAGCTTCCTTTTCATCCTCTTTTTCATCTTTCTTCATCTTGTCAAAAGACCAGCGCCGGCCCTCTAAGTAGGAGCCTTTGTCTTCACTTCTCTTGGTGATGTTCTGCAGGGAGCGAGACAGCGGGGAGCACTTCTCCAACAGGACCAGCTTAGACGGATGGGCTCCTGAAATCCTTGGAGTGGACGGCTCGGAGTCGTAAACGTGGCTCCCATTTATACACAAAGAAGACTTGGACTGAGTCATGGTCTGACCCTTGAGAGACTCCAGTGCAGGATTTGTTCGCGGGAAGGCTGTTGTGATCTTGCTGGCTTCATCGCTGAAAGCTCGCTTGTGTGTGAGAACCCTCGTGGTGTGCTGGCTGGTGAGCACTGTTGGAAGGACAGAGCACTGGGTTACAGCTTTTGGATGTTAACAGATGTAAATTACAGAAAATGAATTGAACCTGTTCATTCACAGAGTTATTGAAACATTCAGATCGTTTTTTCTTTTAAAGTCTTTATTTGTGATTTTTCACCCTTAAATGTAGAAATCAAGTATATCCTCTGAAAATAACTCTGTGAGTCATGACTGTCTACAATGGGTGTAACACCCGAGTCCCACTGTCTGTGATGTTTCCAGAGTTTTCAGAGTCCTATCTTCAGTTTGTTTACATCGCCCGGAAGGCTGGCCGGCTGACTCCTCCCCTCGTGTATAAAAGTTGTTTAATTGAGGGACTAGAGAAAAGAAGAATAACATACTGTACTCACTGCTTAACTGTGTTTCTAGATCACGCTCATTTCAGGTAAATTTACATGCAGTGTGAAGATACCAGCATAATAAAGATCACTAGCATTAGCATGCTAACACAACAATGCAGCGCCAGTTGTTTTGGTTTCATGCTGGTGCTCAAGGGCGACATCTGCTGGATCAACAAATAAATCGCATATAAAGCCTTTAACCTGTCTTTCCTTTAAGTAGTAACACAGAAACCACTTTTGGGCTGTGTAAAGAAGACAACATGTATTTGCCTAATTACCCATCAACATTAGCAGCTGTTGGGAGACAGTTAGCTATCCTACAAGTTCAGTAATCACTCCTACTTTTAGCTGAAGTTTCCACCAACTCTAAAGGGTATAAAAGTTTGCACTTTTAAAGATAACTAGCTTAACTAAATTAAGCTAGACTTCTCCCAGACCTGGAGAGCAGCCCTGCAGTGTTCTGCCCCCCCCCCCAAAGGCTTCCAGAGAGCTGACCAATCAGAAGAGAGTGTGCACATAGGGAGGGGGGGGCCTTAAAGAGACAGCAGCTTAAATGAACTGTTGAAGTATGTAAAAATTAGAATCTGTTTCCTGTTTACTTTGTCTATATTGAAGAAAGTATGATGGAGGGGAGAGCTGTCCTACTTCTGGAGACTGGGCCCACTTCTTTATATTTATTTATTTATTAATATTTTTTTATTAGGTGATTCAGAACAATACAAGATGAGTGAGGGACTTTGTATGTTGAGGGTGTTGAAGGGCCCTGTTTGTTTGTGTGTGTGAGAGTGTGTGTGTGTAATTCAAGTGTACGCTTGTATTTATTTTTCTATTCTTTCTCCCCTTTTCTTTTCCCTTTGGTACAGTAAAAAGAATGGTTTGAAGGTTTGAAGATAACTAGGAGGAGAAAGTGGTAGAAGTGGGATTTAACAGCAGATTGAGCTTGATGAGTAAAAAATAGAGAGATAGAATGACAAAAAATATTAATAGAATTAAATATAAATATGGGTCCACTTCTTTTACAAACTGTGTTCGGGTGAGACCTACAGTCAGCAGCTGTGATGTCATGGACTCACCTTTTTTAGCTAAATCTGCCCTCTCCATAGTGGGTGTCCGCTCTCACTTTGCTGCTGTAGATGGGAGAACTTGGAGGGTCAGACATCAGGTCCAGGCTGGGTGGAGGGTTAGGGGGGCCGGGGTTTTCACTGGTCATAGAAGACATGCTACTGTCTGAAGCCAGCGACGAGCACGACCTGGTGTCAGAAGACTTCCGCAGCCTTCCTTTGAAAAATCTTTCACCTTACTCCTCTTCTCCTCCGCTACTATCTCCACATCTCGCGATTCCATCGGAACGCCACCGTCCTCTCCAAACGGCGGTCCCAGGGACGCTGACAGGGCTGCGTAACGGCCCGGCACAATGGCCGAGGAAGACTCCATGTCCCCCCTCTTCCTGCCTGTGACGCGATCCTTCAGTTTGCCGAACGCAGAGCGAGGTTTGTCCTTCATGGTGAGGTCGAACATGCTGGCTGTCATGTTGTTGCGCGTGAACTGGACCGTGACCTGAAGTTCACCACGTTCCTTCTCCTTCCGTCCCGCCTTGGAGTTGAGTTTAAACCATCTGGAGCCGACAGAAAAAGAATCAGTCAACATGTGGCCGTCAGTCTAAAACACATTACTTTATATAAAGTTTTTACAGATATATGTTTTACTACATTAGAACATAACATACAGACAAACACTGTAAACTGCAGTTCCTCTTGTGTCCACTAGAGACTGGCTCTAGACCCAAGAAGCCACATGCTGACCCCATGTTGTGATGTCATAAACAGCAGAGAGTAACATGTTTACAGCCTGGTGCTGTGTGTTTGACCGGGTGAACCTGTTTATAACTCGTCTGTTTTGACTTCATGAACGATAAGCCATACGCATCATTAGGAGCGTGGTCAATATGGCTGCAGGCGGCCGTGCTGTAGCTCTTTTTCTCGTCTCTGTCTGTCATTACGTTGATCTAAAGTTTTGACAGAGTCATCATTTCCAAAATGGCAACCGCCATGGGCAGGCTTCACTCAGACTTCATAAACTCTTATTAACAGTTTCATTCTTCTTCTTTGATTCAAGTATCCATCTCATGATCCACATATGATCCTCTGCAGGACATCTGAAGAGTGAAGCCTGCACGGCTCCTCGCCCCCCGCAGCAGAACCAGCAGGAACAGGAACCCCTGATTTCCTTTTGTATTTCACAATAAGAGACGAACGCTACAACAAACCTCAGAGCAGGAAGCAAAACACAAATTCCTTGAGGTCGCCCCACCGCTGTTGATGCATTTTAAAGACACATGCAGAACTGTGTGAGGAGTAAACCAATGCAACCCCCCCCCCCCAGGAGGAATCCAGTTTGAGTTTGACTGAGTACTGAGAGTCTCAGATTAAAGACAGATGTGTTGATGGATTGCACAGATTGTCCTGCAGTGAGGACCAGATCCTGAAGAAGATCTGAACCAGGAAGAGACTAAGTCCAGGTAAACACCAGATCCTGAAGAAGATCTGAACCAGGAAGAGACTAAGTCCAGGTAAACACCAGATCCTGAAGAAGATCTGAACCAGGAAGAGACTGGTGTTGAATTACTTTAAGAGACTCGTCGAGCGCCTCACTTCAGTTTGGAGACGTCTTAATAACCACAGAGAGCCTTTTTACAGTGTGTGTGTGTGTGTGTGTGTGTGTGTGTGTGTGTGTGTGTGTGTGTGTATGTGTGTGTGTGTGTGTATGTGCATTAAGAGTCTTTGTTGCAGCTGAACTTGTTTCACAGTGAAAACTGCATCTCATCTGATTTGCAATGCATTGTGGGTGCTGCTGCTGGAGGGCTGAGTACTTCATCATCCTGTAACGGTCTGAACAGCCGATCATTCAGTCATGACTCATGATGTGAAGTTTGAAGGCACATGATGATTATGAATAAAACATGAGGGGGAGAAAGATCAAAGTTGAAAGAGGATATATTATCCTCCTCCTCCACCTTTTCAAACAGTCCTCCTCCACCTTTTCAAACAGTCCTCCTCCACCTTTTCAAACAGTCCTCCTCCACCTTTTCAAACAGTCCTCCTCCTCCACCTTTTCAAACAGTCCTCCTCCTCCACCTTTTCAAACAGTCCTCCTCCACCTTTTCAAACAGTCCCCTCCACCTTTTCAAACAGTCCCCTCCTCCACCTTTTCAAACAGTCCTCCTCCTCCACCTTTTCAAACAGTCCTCCTCCACCTTTTCAAACAGTCCCCTCCACCTTTTCAAACAGTCCCCTCCTCCACCTTTTCAAACAGTCCTCCTCCACCTTTTCAAACAGTCCCCTCCTCCACCTTTTCAAACAGTCCTCCTCCACCTTTTTAAACAGTCCCCTCCTCCACCTTTTCAAACAGTCCCCTCCTCCACCTTTTCAAACAGTCCTCCTCCACCTTTTCAAACAGTCCCCTCCACCTTTTCAAACAGTCCCCTCCTCCACCTTTTCAAACAGTCCTCCTCCACCTTTTCAAACAGTCCCCTCCTCCACCTTTTCAAACAGTCCTCCTCCACCTTTTTAAACAGTCCCCTCCTCCACCTTTTCAAACAGCCCCCTCCTCCACCTTTTCAAACAGTCCCCTCCTCCACCTTTTCAAACAGTCCCCTCCTCCACCTTTTCAAACAGTCCCCTCCTCCACCTTTTCAAACAGTCCTCCTCCACCTTTTCAAACAGTCCCCTCCTCCACCTTTTCAAACAGTCCTCCTCCACCTTTTCAAACAGTCCCCTCCTCCACCTTTTCAAACAGTCCTCCTCCACCTTTTCAAACAGTCCCCTCCTCCACCTTTTCAAACAGTCCCTCCTCCACCTTTTCAAACAGTCCTCCTCCACCTTTTCAAACAGTCCTCCTCCTCCACCTTTTCAAACAGTCCTCCTCCACCTTTTCAAACAGTCCTCCTCCACCTTTTCAAACAGTCCTCCTCCACCTTTTCAAACAGTCCCCTCCTCCACCTTTTCAAACAGTCCCCCTCCTCCACCTTTTCAAACAGTCCTCCTCCACCTTTTCAAACAGTCCTCCTCCTCCACCTTTTCAAACAGTCCTCCTCCACCTTTTCAAACAGTCCCCTCCTCCACCTTTTCAAACAGTCCTCCTCCACCTTTTCAAACATTCCTCCTCCTCCACCTTTTCAAACAGTCCTCCTGTGGTCTAAATGAAACATCTGTGCTGTGCTTTGGTCAAAATATAACATGAATCAAGCACCAGAGGAGGTTTGTGACCCTGTATAAACCAGCTCTCTCAGAACGCTCCGTTTTGGTGTGTGTGTCTCTTTAAATGTAATGACCCCGCCCCCCCCCCCCCGTAGACATCACTCCTCTGTAGAGAGAATAAAAATGGCCGACCTGCTCAAAAGTTTTGTTCTAGGCTGGGGGTGGAGTCCATGGGTGGAGATACCAGGGGAGGGGACGGGATTCCACTGTGACATCACAAGGAGAACACATTTGAAATGGAGCATTTTTCTCTGTGTTGTAAGACTTATGCAGACCACAAATAAAGGGCTGGATACGTTTACTTCACATGTTGTGGGTCAGTAGAAGTTTACATAGACATACAGCAGATAGATAATGATTATTATCTCTGCTAGCCTCTAAACACATTTCTTTCTGTTTAACCCCCCCCCCCCCGATCCTTTTCGTCATCACTATAACTGGTTCATTAGCTGTGATGCAGGTAACATTAAGAATCCGAACAGGACGTACTCATCTCGAGGACACATCCCGTCCTGAAAGATCTTCTCCAGAGGAATGATGGTCTGACCGAGGAACACGTCCAGGCCGATGAGCACCCGGTGCATGACGGTGAGGACCAGGTCTCCGCTCCCTGGGGGGTAGGAGCTCCGGCCGCCGTCCTCCAGGATCCCCGGGAGAAGCTCGAAACAGCACTCCTCATTCCACTCGGGCACCTCCGCCTTCTCCACCAGCCCGGTGGTGTACTTCTCCTTCCCCACCTGGATGATGGTGTACAGGTAGCGGCTGCCGTGCTTGCCCTTGGTCCGCAGTCCTCTCCCGCGGAGGACGGTGACATTCACGTGAGTGGGCACCCATCTCTGATCATCGTCCAGATCGATCAGTGACATCATCTTGGACCGATGCTGTTAACGTGTCCTTAAATACGCACAATGTCTGTTATTCCTTTGTCGTACCTGTGGGCTCGGAGACCACCCCCCCTGTGCACTGGGCTCCGTGCTGCGCAAAAAAACCTCTGCAGAATCCGTCAGTCCGCTGAAGAGAGGGTTTATCCGAGGTCACTTTCTGGACAGCACACCGGGATCAACTCAAAGCTCCGCATGCCATTCCCAAATCCAATCAGAGCAAACCATGTGAGTCCGGCTACTGCGTGCAGGATTCTCACCGAAGTCCGCTCCTCCTGCGTGTCGCATCACTTAAGTCTAGAGTCCAAAAATGTGCCCTTGACTGTGTCCACGGACCGGCCCACCCTCCTCCAGAGCCTCCTCCAGAGCCTCCTCCAGCAGCAGCAGGCCCGCACGCAGAGAGGGAGCTGCCGCAGAATGAGGGAGAAAGAGGAGTCACATCCACACACTCATCATGTCCTGCTCCGTGTGCAGAAGCGTCACAGCAGACAGTCCGGTGCTGCTGCTGCTGCTGCTGAGATCATGTGAGCAGAGAGGAGACATGCGGAGAGTCTGCTCAACACATGAGTCCACTCTACTGTCTGGGCGGAACCGTTCAAGAGAAACAACACATCTTATTCTCATTTATTTCCCTCCAACAAATCACCAAGAAGAAACTAGCTTTAAGAAGAGGTTGATGAAATACAGATACAAAGGAAAGATAAAAAAAAAAGATCATGTTTGTGTTTTTATTGTTGTATGTGGACCCTGAAGAATGACGTCACACCCCCTCTCCTTTATGGCACAGTGTCAATTTAAAGAAACAGTGCAGCCCCCCCCCCCCGACCTTTACTGGAGATCTGATTCCTGCTGACAGACTGCATCAGGTTTCTGTCATTCACAGAACTACGACGCCATCTAGTGGAGATCAGAGACAGTGCAGGTACTGAGGGCTTCATCACCAAGAGAGCCACATCTAGATATTAAAACACTAACATTATGTAACTTTAATAGAAGCTTGAGGGGTTAGCTTAAAGGTGAAGCAGTAATCGTTTCATTCTATTGTATAAAGTCAATGAAAGATTCTATTCTTCTACGTTGTGTGGAGTGTAATCTTTCTTCTCAAGGTTCTTAGGATGCAGAGAATACATGAAGTGAGTTCAGCCCCGTCGGTGTCCTCGGTCTACGCTCCCTTTAAAGAGTTTGTGCTGCAGCTTCAGCAGCTCTTTGAAACATTCATTCTGATGTAAGTTTGAGTTCTCTTTAAAGCTCCAGTGAAATGTTTTTAGTTTGTTATGAAAGAAGATGAGCAAACAAAACCATCAACATAAAGATTCAATATTTCTATTTAGTAACTTTCATTCTGTTTAAGCCAGCAGGTAGGATGTGAAGATGGATGGGTGGATGATGGATGATGGATAGTTGATGGATGGATGGTTGATGGATGATGGATGGATGGATGGATGGATAGTTGATGGATGGATGATGTAGGGATGAATGGATGATGGATGGATAGATGATGGATGGATGATGGATGGATGATGTAGGGATGAATGGATGATGGATGGATTAGATGATGGATGGATGATGGATGGATGATGTAGGGATGAATGGATGGTTGATGGTTGATGGATGATGGATGGATAGTTGATGGATGGATAGTTGATGGATGGATGATGGATGGATTAGATGATGGATGGATGATGGATGGATGATGTAGGGATGAATGGATGATGGATGGTTGATGGTTGATGGATTCTGGATGGATGAATGATGGATGGATTAGATGATGGATGGATGATGGATGGATGATGTAGGGATGAATGGATGATGGATGGTTGATGGATGATGGATTCTGGATGGATGAATGATGGATGTCTGGTTGGATAAAAATGAAGCATCATCAAGGTTTTCAGCTTCAGTTCTTTTTTGGTTTATTATAAATAAAAACAGAAGCTTTCAGTAAAAATGCGCCCGATGTTTCACAGTGTCGTTAACAGTAAATACAAACTGACGCTCACATTCAGAAGAACAGCAACACGACGACAGAATCCGACTGAGGAAGGTTTCTGTGGCACTTTTCTACTTGGCTTGTAAAGAGAGAGAGACGTGGCATTAACAGCTCACACAATACTGAACGTTATATTACACATTTACACAAACAGCTCGGCAACATGATGGAGTCGATGTGGTACATTCTAACGTAGAAAACACGGCCCAGGAGTTAATGACAAGCTGATGGAGTCAAAGAAACATGTTGAAACTGTTGATGGACGAGTCAGTGAGACGACACAAGAAGAGGAGTCAACAGTCTTATTTACAAAGAGACAGGTTCTGTCATTAATATGAAGAAGACATCTGTTTAAATATTCCCAGCTGTGACTTGTGATGGAACTGAAACCTGGTCTTGAATCCAGTGTAAGGCATTAGTATTTGAGCATGTGACCATCATCATCTGCTTTCACAAAAAACTCAATCTGAAACACTAAACATGTTCCTCACATCTTTCCTTCGATTGAATTAAACCATCTTTGATGAGAAAACACATATCTTTATTTTTACTTGAGTCTTTCTGCAGATCTGAATTTTTCAGAGCCCTTCAACATTAGCCTCTCCTATTAGGTTTCTAATTTCATTTAAAGCTCCGCCTCCTCCTCATGTTCTCCGTTCATGTCTTCAGTGTGGGAAACCTTTAGAGCAGCTTTACATGATCTGATTATCTGATACTCCCGTCAATAAAAACCAGCAGAATGCTGCAGGGCTGCCAGGGGAGGGCTGCTCTCCAGGTCTGGGAGACGAGAGTCTATGTAAGAGGTTTCAGAGGCTTGAAACCGTCTGCTGAAATTCTTGGTTTCATATCGGGGAACTATGGTGTGAGAGCAAGGCGTTTAGCGCCCTCTGCAGACTCATCCTAGGATTACTCCAACAAACATTTACCTCATGATCTGAAACTTTGACCACGTATAGTTTGGACATCGTAACTATATGAGAGTTAAAAACGGAGATCAACAGATCGACTTTGAGAGAAGAGGATTCAACCTTTGACCGCGGTTGAGTTGTTAATTTAAGTCACATGTTTTAAAGTTGAGCTTCTGAGCCTAATATCATAAGAAGGTTTTTTTACTGACACATCCTCTGAAAACGTCTGTTAGCAAAAGTCTTTTAACTCTAGTGAAGCTGCATGGAGCTCACTGGAAGGCTCTTTTCTCCCCAAGTGTTTGAAACATGAAGTCTCAGAGGCGCTCAGCTAGCCACACGCTAACATATCGAAGCTTCTTCTGTGACGTACCAAACACGCGTCGGACATGTTTCTGATGACTGGAAGGTTAGCATGTTCACAATCTGAAGTATTGGTTGGATGCTGACGCAAGTTCTGTAAACGACAAAGGATAAAAAAGGAAGTGAATGGAAGACCAAACATTTGAAATGTCAGATGTTGAGTGAACATAACGACACAGAGGATGAAGTGTTCTTATGTTGGATTAGCGTCTGGAATGTTTTCCTCACAGGATAAAGTGACAGGTTCAGGTCAGTGTTTCGGGATATGTCGTAATGCGGCTACATTTACGGCTTCTGTCTTTGATTCCTTCCCTCTCTTCAGTCTGATTGGCTGTTCTGGCAGCCTTTTAAATACAGCTCGTCTTGTGACAAATGTCCATCAAAGGCGTCCATGTAGAGGCTGCTGGTGCTGCTGCCGCTGCTACCCAGGAACGTGCCGACCGCTCGGCCCTGGCGAGCATGACCCACAGCGTCGCTGAACACTTTGTTGATCTGCTCCTCTGACGGCATCCACCAGTCAGGGTTTGAGGCACAGTGCATCCGGATGAACTCTGGTAGGAGGAGAATAATGTTTTAGTTATTGGTGACAGAGATGGACAGGATGATGGTTACATAAAGGATTGATATCAGTTTATTTCAGAATTTCTCTAAATGGTCAGGCACCTTAAAGACCTATTACATTACACTACGCTTCCAGAATGAGGCCTGCTAGTGGTACAGTCTCTAAATGTACAATGGGAGGTAGAGCCTTCAGTTATCAGACCTGCTCGTGGTACCTACAGTCTCTAAATGTACTATGGGAGGTAGAGCCTTCAGTTATCAGGCCTGCTCGTGGTACAGTCTCTAAATGTACTATGGGAGGTAGAGCCTTCAGTTATCAGGCCTGCTCGTGGTACAGTCTCTAAATGTACTATGGGAGGTAGAGCCTTCAGTTATCAGACCTGCTCGTGGTACAGTCTCTAAATGTACTATGGGAGGTAGAGCCTTCAGTTATCAGGCCTGCTCGTGGTACAGTCTCTAAATGTACAATGGGAGGTAGAGCCTTCAGTTATCAGGCCTGCTCGTGGTACAGTCTCTAAATGTACTATTGGAGGTAGAGCCTTCAGTTATCAGACCTGCTCGTGGTACAGTCTCTAAATGTACTATGGGAGGTAGAGCCTTCAGTTATCAGGTCTGCTTGTGGTACCTACAGTCTCTAAATGTACTATGGGAGGTAGAGCCTTCAGTTATCAGGCCTGCTCGTGGTACCTACAGTCTCTAAATGTACTATGGGAGGTAGAGCCTTCAGTTATCAGGCCTGCTCGTGGTACCTACGGTCTCTAAATGTACTATGGGAGGTAGAGCCTTCAGTTATCAGGTCTGCTCGTGGTACCTACGGTCTCTAAATGTACTATGGGAGGTAGAGCCTTCAGTTATCAGGCCTGCTCGTGGTACAGTCTCTAAATGTACTATGGGAGGTAGAGCCTTCAGTTATCAGGCCTGCTCGTGGTACCTACAGTCTCTAAATGTACTATGGGAGGTAGAGCCTTCAGTTATCAGGCCTGCTCGTGGTACCTACGGTCTCTAAATGTACTATGGGAGGTAGAGCCTTCAGTTATCAGGCCTGCTCGTGGTACAGTCTCTAAATGTACTATGGGAGGTAGAGCCTTCAGTTATCAGGTCTGCTCGTGGTACCTACGGTCTCTAAATGTACTATGGGAGGTAGAGCCTTCAGTTATCAGGCCTGCTCGTGGTACAGTCTCT